TAGCTTACTTATAATGTCTACTAGCTGACCCGTCCATCTTCCAATACCAATATCAAAGAAAAAATCATAATAAAAAGCTGTTAAATGTATCTTTTTTCCGGATTTCGTAGGTTATACTGTGGGAGAGCCATGCTTTGTCACATATGTCATGGCTCGACCGCAGTGATATAATGACATCACCGAAACCCGATGTTAAGCAACTTTTCATTGCTTTTCATTCAGGTCACTGGAGACTCAAACCTCTCCCCCCTAATTCTGGGACATAGGGTGGCAACGCACTTGTCTCGCTTTAGTTGGCAGGTGTCCGTGAGCGGCGTTAGTCACTTGCCAGCTGTTAACCCTTTCGCACTTAGCCCCTTTCACTTAAAAAAAAAATACTAAAAGGATTATAAGTCACTGACAATTAACTAAAGTTATGGTAATAAATAACTGTAGTAATTCAGTAGTACCATAGAGTTATTAGTCAATCATTGTCTAGGAGGCCTGTGTCCACCAGTAGACTATTAAATGCTGTTGATGGGTATGATTAATAGTTCAATTATTCGTACATTTTGACGATTATTCGTATATAAGTGAATTTTAAGAGTTGCAACACTTACAACCTAACTACACAAATAAAGGACCTAACTACGTGACCTTTAAAGGAAGTATTATTGTGTGAGTTACGTCAACACAAAGTGCTTTCTATATGGTTAGATGGACTATAGCAATTAATTATATTCAAGTCAATTTGTTTATTGTCAGGATTACTTGACAGTGAACGAATTTTTATTTTATCACTGTTAACAAAGTACTACCACTGTACCAAAATAAGTATTATTGAACCTATAATGTTGCGATTTAATCTATTTGAGTCAAGTTATATTCGAGTTTAAGCTCAACTGAATTTTGTATTATAGGTAGTTGAAGGTTCTCAGTTTTTATAAGTTATGTACATACGTCTGTATTGAAACTAAAAAATAAACGTGAGAACTTTCATGTAAATAAACATTTATATTATTCAAATTCAATTTTTATTAAAGACTATTAATATTGATTATTATTAAGAAATATTAATATTGATGAAAAAAAATACAACACACATTTTCGCAAAAATAGGTTACAAATATTAGACTAGTCGAAGTTCGAAATGTCAACAAACACAGGGAGAGACACATGATCAGCTGTAGGTCTTCAAGATCTTCTGCACCACGATAGGCACGCTGAGTAGCACTTTCTTCTCCTCGAAAGTGACGTCATATCTTCACTTGCGATTCTTAACTTATTGTCTTCTGAAATACAGAATATAGCTCGAAGTAATTATTGAATATTAGGTAAGTTAGAAAAAGACATAGAACTGCTTAATACCATCCCGACTGGATAACAATTGGAATTCTGTATTGGATTACAGTTATTTTTTCTACATGTAGTTTCAATTTTTACTTTATTAATAATCAAATGGACCGTTATTGGGGAATATAACGGAGGACAGGAATTTGTAAGGTTAATATTTACCAATATTTCGTTGTCCTTCGTACGTTTCTATCAGGTTATTGTATGACAATTCGTCAGCGTCTACATCAGCGAGCTGAACGACAAGAACGAAGGCGAACGCTACTGCCAAGAACTTCATACTGATAGACTTTATACTTCACCGTACTAGATCAAGCTATGTAGTGAAAGAGACGACGTATGAATGCTAGACTCAAATTATCTCTTATATATATACAACGATAGGCCCAAAAATATGTAGAATGTAGGTATGTCTTTGTTATAAAGTTGCAGTAACTAGAACTGATTGAACTACAGCCAAAAACATACCTTATGCGCTGGAAATAAAGTGTTTTGATAAAATCCATAGTCTAAATTTTAGTTTATTGTTTGGCCGCAATTCTAGTTACTTTATTAGGAATCTATAGATAAAGCTAATATTGAATCATGCAACAAAAAGAACCTATTTGAGCTATACGTTAAATAATCCTTTTTGTTTCGTGTGGAAGTAGTATTTAGGAATCGAACTGACTAACACCGCATGGTGTTCCGGCACATGTAAGTCTATTGCAAAGGACTCGGGCATACCCTAGGAAGGAAGTCCCCGAGAACCCTGGTAGACTTTGGCCGCCGTAGGCCGCCACATTATTGGGTGCAGAGGAGCGCTCAGAGCCTACAGCCTCCTACAGAATGTGTGTCCTCCTCTACACTATACTCCTACCATCTTTTAAGTTTTGCCATCAGTTAGTCGAATACAGATGTTAGGACGCAACCGTGACATACGGCTTAATATGCTCTCCGAGGCACGGAGGTATCTCAATGTGTTAAAAATAGTCACCTACCCATAGACTGCCCTAGCTAGGATTACTTAACTTTACAATGTATTAACGTACGCGGTTATCACTTAGCTACGAGCCCTATACTTAATATTAAAAATAAATACTCAAATTAAAACGAGCCAATTTGCCTTCAGATTAAATAGTCGCTTTCCATCAGGTGACACACCTGCTCGTTTGCCCCCTCTTCCATTAAAAAATAAGTCTACGTAGCTTATCATCTCGTACTAACATCATATATCAACATATATGGCGAGCGTCGTTGGCAATATGTTTTACCACAACTACTCAACGAACTGGAACACCGTATTATAAAAAAAACTCTTAGAGAATTAAGAGAACTGTGGAAGGCTTCTCAAACCGGTTTACCTCACAAAGGAAGTAGCTGCCAATAAATACATAATATATGAAGAAAATATGTATAGGAACTTTAATGTACATTGTATTGCAAGGCGAATGATGGCAGTGATACATAAAACAAATGTGGTTTTTCTTCACTGTTACAGTGCCTTGTAACCTTCTGTTATGAATAAAAGAGAAGCCACGAGCCCGTCATTATAAATATGAATGGCAAACACTAAAATTATAAATCGTTATAAAAATGTATTGTTTACTATGTTAAGTATTATTGCCTAGAAAGAAAGGAAAGCAAAAATCATGAGATCTACCTGCCGCGCCTCATAAAGGAGAAAGTAAAAATAACACAAGGAACATTGTATGTTTAACCAGCAGTGGTCACACAAACAATGGTGCTAATTCTGTTGTTCGAAAACTCTCTAAACTAAACTAAAAATCACTAAAATTTGGTTTAGTTCTGTAAAACAACGTTTCCTATTCTGAATATTTGAAACGTAATATTCGACGGGACAAAAAAAAATTTTTTAGTGATTTTTTAATCTTACCATATGTATTTTTTACCTACATAAATGACATACACGCCGTAGATGGCCCGAGGTACGTCGAGGTATCAGGGATTTCTTTCCTAGGGTGCATCTGGTTCCCTGGAAACTGGTACCCGAGACGGTTTGACTATGGTGGGACTTGACCCACCGGTGGGTGGTCTCCGAGAGGATTTTCGCACAGAAAAAGAAAAAGGTACATGTTACACGAGCAAAGAGATAAGAAATTTAGATATGAAAACGGGTGTCCTAAGGAACTCCCCTGTATTAAAACAAAACATGATTACTTCTTATCTTTTTCAATTGATACAATGATCTGATTCTGGCGATAATATCTTATTGACTACATATCCCCTTGGGCGATATTTTTACAAATTTGTTAGTAAAAGCTGATACAGAAGAAGCAGGATTTTCACGATATGTTTGTTGCGTAGGTTTGAAGCCAGCGCTAATGAATTAGCTTCACTACTCCTACTATATCCGCCACATCTAAGAACTGGGATGACACTCAGTAAGTCCATGACACTCAAAAGTTATACTATCTTGGAACCCGCAAAGAAATTATTAAGAAGAAAATAAGAGATGTTGACAGGTTAATGAATCCTTTTAACTCCTTTTCATAGCAGAAGACAAAAATAAGGCAAAATAGGCTTATACACTATTGAACTAAAAACATTATGGGCTCTAAGTAGGCTACATTTGATTACTATAATTATATATGGCAGATTATAGACATTAAATATAACTCACTTATATTGTATACGAGAAGACCCACGCAACTTTATCTGCATCTCAAAAGGAAGAAATTTGTCCCGTTTTTTTTTTTGATGCTCGGCTACTATTGGTCGTAGCGTCATGTTATAAAGCCTTCTTAGTTAAGTGGCCTATCCAACGCTAAATTAATTTTTAATTCGAATCAGAAGTTCCTGAGATTAGCACGTCCTACCAAATAAGCAAAGTCTTCAGCTTTAGAATATTAGTGTAGATAAAAAAGAATACCAGAAACCGACACACCGAGAGAGACACTAAAGTTATTTTCAATTTTCTAAAATCAGTCACATAATAAAATAATTTTGACTTCTATTAAATTGAAGGAATAGTAAAAAGTATGTTACATACCCCTTAAGCATTATTTTAATTATAGTCGGCTGACGTTTCAACAAAAGTATACGTGAACAAAGTTCCGTTAAAAATTGTGCATCCATTTTGCAAAAAATGTAATCAATTAAAGTCATAAAGTAGATTAGAGAGTATTCACAGCAATTTGTGAAGACTGAGTTCAAAACTTTGTGAACGTGTCTTCTTATAAGTGCTTGGAAGTTGAACCCAATAACTTAATTACGAAGTATTTACATATCATTGAAAATGTATTAATAATGAATTTTATATCAGTATTAGAACAATATTAAAGATAGACAGTATAGGTCACGACAAAAGAAAAATGAATTGTTTGGAATGGCTACCGATGTGTAACCCAAAAAAATAAATTATTTTTGTTGAATGATTCACCATAACCTTTATCAATTTATTGGAAATGATAAATATTTATAGACTTACACCCAAACAATGAACGAAAGCATGTGGTATGAATTTTGTGTAACTAATTTATTTCCAGTGAATAAAGTCTATTTTCGTAATCGTATCTCAGAATTGAAACATACATACATATACTGATAGTATCATCGGGATATCTCGATCAGGGTATATATAAAGAGACCATTTGAGTTAATATTCATACGTAGCCTCTTGCACTACATAGCTTGATCTGGTACAAGAAAGTTAAAATTATAACAATATGAAGTTCGTGGCATTAGTTTTCGCCATTATTCTTGTCATTCAGCTCGCTGACGTTACTGCTGACAAGATGTCTTTCAGCGACGCAATAGAAGCGTACGAAGAACAACAAAATTTTGGTAAGAGTTAAATGTGCATATCCCTGTCGTTGTTTTACATATATTATTCGTGTGAGCATCATGCTTCGATACTTATGAACGCACTTATAGGCGGTGGTACACACACAGAGACATACAATATCCCATATTTTGAAGTTATCGTACTGTCAAAATTACTTGAAATTATTAAACAAACTTAAATATTTCTTTCAGGTAACAATGACGTAAGGATTGCTACGGGAGATATGTCTTCACTCTCGAGGAGATGCACCCTCTCATCGTGTACTACACTGTGTAGAAGTAGAGGTTTCAGACGCGGAGTCTGTATCTCTGCCACACTCTGTCGCTGTTTCAGATAAATTTGTCTTCCTTTAGATTTACTAGTTTTCGTGGTTAGTAAAAATGTCACCGAATGATATAAATATATTTAGTTCATAATCATCCTCAAATATGCAAATTGTTAAGTGATTTGAGAATTCATCTTGCTCTCTGTTTGCTTAACAATAGTAGTTTTCATATTATTTTTTTTGTGTTTTTCGTTACCATAAGTGACACAGTTATTTATCCAAAAATAAATGAAATGAAAAAATGAATTGTGTAGATACTTTCTTTAACTTCTATGAGTGCTTCCTAATTTTATGAGTGCACTGACTTTATGAGGGGAATGACACTGCTTGATTTGTGTAGTAAAGTTTTTGTTGTTCGCAAATATGTCATCGCATGATATCAATATATTTAGTTCATAATCATACTCAAATCTTCAAGTTGTGGTATGATTTGAGAATACATATTGCGCTCTGTTTGTTTAACAACAGTAGTTTTCTATTACCATACATGACAAAGTTATTTATCTAAAAATAAATAAAATTAGAAAATGGATTGTGTATTTTCTTTGACTTTTATATCATCATCATCATCATCAACAGCCTATAATAGTCCACTACTGGACATAGGCCTCTCCTTAGAAAGGAGGTTTTGGCCTACTATACCATGCTGGCCAGACGGGTTGGTATAGTAGGCCAAAACCTACCTGTAGACTTTTACATGTGCTTCCTAAATTTATATGTGCAGGAAAAAATAAATTTACAGGAGATAAAATTAGACATATTAAGATTTACATTGCTGATTACAAATTATCAAGAAATAATGGTATATGCTAAATTGTAAATTGTTGGTTTAAATTTGTGTTTGGTTGTGTCGAAATCGGACCGACTAAAACCAAACGGTGTGCAACTTTGCGCCTGAAATAGGAGAGATCCGGGAACTGGATCTTAAGACATCCGTCACATTTCTTAAATGTAGACCTATGAAGGGCATGCACAGTCAATAAAAGTAAAAAAAAATGACTGCCTCGTTGGTGCAGTAGGTAGCGTATGTGGCGCACAGCAGGTGCTGAGGTGCTGTCTCGGGTACCTACTATTCCAGGGTCAGACCAAATGCTTGTATAATCTGCAAATAATTGTTTTGGATTTTGGGTGTACAATATGTATGTATTACAGTAAAAAATGGATATATGTAAGTATTCTATCAGTCACTCTAGCTTTCATAGTAATTGCTGAAAACTTTGAAACTAGATGGTATTGTGTGTAAGATGTCTCAAATATTATAAAAAAAGAATCTTAAAAACATGAGAATAAATATTTTGGGTTCATTTGTTTTATTAAATTATGTTACTAGTTTTGATACGTTTTACTCGTATAGACCAGGGTCGATAATTTTGAAAATGGTAAAAGTGAAAAAAAAAAACAGTAGGATGAAACCCGTTAAAAAAGGACGAGAATATAACAAAAATGAAAGGAAAAATAATTTACGGGCGATCTGAGGTCGGGAAGTGGAAGGCGGTTTAAGGGTAAAAAAACGGTGTTTCTCGATTTCGAGATAAGTATTCACCAAATTTCTTAAAAAAGTTTTTGCATAAGATAAAAATGAAAAACCAAAAACTTGATTATTTGAATTTTTCACATAAATTTTGAGGTTATGTGAAAAGGTGTAATTACAAAAGTTGTAGGTCTCTTTATTACCTACAACTTTGTCATTTAATTTTTTTCCATAGGACTTGTAGTTTGGCCGGAAATCGAGATACACCGTTTTTTACCCTTAACCTTCCCCCCCCCCCTTCCACTTCCCGACCACAGATCGCCCGTAAATTATTGTTCCTTTCATTTTTGTTATATTCGCTAACTCGAATATGTAAATAAATACGTCAAAATAATACTCTTGGGACGTTCTTATGGAATGTACCTAACATTATATAAAAAGTCATTGTAAACCATGCCCTTTGTTAACACTTCTTCTACTTAGCTACACACACACAATCTTATCATATGTATTTGTTGCCTACATAAATGACATAAAAGAAATGCGCAATGTTATCATTAAAGTAAAAGTAATAGCAAAATCAAAGTAGAAGTAATACAAAATCACTCCTAGAAGCCTGCCAAAGCCCCAGTAGGCTGCACTGCTTCTGGAAGGAGCTGGATTGCCTTTCCTAGACAACCTTACGTACATTTAAAAATACGTTTTTAAGTCAAAATGCGAAAACTGGAAACTGGCCCCCTACCAATATCAATACCACTACCACATTCATTGCCATCGAGTGTATTCTATTATAAGCAAATACGGCATATTTTTTATCAAAGTCTTATACGCAATCAATATCAGTATCAGAAGAGGACTAATCGCTTAAAAGTTGTTTCAAAACTTAGATTGAAATATTTGTTTTGGTAATTGTGATGAATCCGAGCTCTGTCAAACATGACTTTTTATTTACTTCAGTAAAACCACAATAGAGCATAATCAAGTTTGTGTCTAAACGATATTAAGTACATTATAGGTTTGCATCTTATTTTGAGTCTTAAGCCGCTCACATATTATACGATATATACGATACGGTACGATAGGTTAAGGTACATGTCATATAAACAAATCAGATACAAGATTTAGATATGATAACGGGTCTCCTAAGTTCCTCCCCTGTTTCAAAGTTAAACATGATTACGATTTATCTGTTCTAATTGATACAAAGATTATAATAGTTTTATTACAATGCGTTTGCTAATGATAAAACTTTGGTGATAATTACTTACACAGCACTAAGCTATTACAGCAAAAAAGGAACATAGTTTTCACGATATGGTTAGTAGCAGTCAGCTCTAAAGATTAAATAGCTTCCCCGTTATCTATCATAACCTCTACCAAATTACCACACACAAAAACATAGGGCTCGTAGTAAGATACATTTGATTCCTTTATATAATACATCTAGCAGATTGTTGACATCAAATATAGCTCGTATCATCAAATATAGTCTACTAGCTGACCCGTGCAACTTCCAATACCAATAACACAGAAAAATCATAATAGAAAGCTGTTAAATGCATCTTTTTTTCCGGATTTTGTAGGTTTGCTGTGGGAGAGCCATGCTTTGTCACATATGCGATGGCTCGACCGGAGTGATACAATGACCTCACCGAAACCCGATGTTAAGCAACTTTTCATTGCTTTTCATTAACTGAGTGAGGTCACTGGAGACTCAAACCTTCTCTCCCCCCTAATTCTGGGACATAGAGTGGCAACGCACTTGTCTCGCTTTAGTTGGCAGGTGTCCGTGAGCGGCGTTAGTCACTTGCCAGCAGTTAACCCTTCTGCCACTTAGCCCCTTTCACTTAAAAAAAAATACTAAAAGGATTATAAGTCACTGACAATTAACTAAAGTTATGGTAATAAATAACTGTAGTAATTCAGTACCATAGAGTTATTAGTCCGTTATAGTCTAGGAGGCCCGTGTCCACCAGTGGACTATTAAAGGCTGTTGATGATTATGATTAATACTTCGATTATTCGTTCATTTTATCGACTATTCGTATTTAAATGAATTTTAAGAGTCGCAACACTTCGCTAAAGGACCTAACTACGTGACCTTTAAAGGAAGTCTTATTGTGTGAGTTACGTCAATACAAAGTGGTTTCCATATGGTTAGATGGACTATAGCAAATAATGATATTCAAGTCAATTTGTTTATTGTCAGGATTACTTGACAGTGAAAGATTTTTTATTTTATCACTGTTAACAAAGTACTACCACTGTACCAAAATAAGTATTATTGAACTTATAATTTTACTATTTGATCTATTTAAGCCAACTTATATTCGAGTTTAAGCTCAACTGAATTTTGTATTATAGGTAGTTGAAGGTTCTCAGTTTTTATGAGTTATGTACAAACGTCTGTATTGAAACAAAAAAAAAAGTGAGAACTTTCATGTAAATAAACATTTTTGTGTTATTCAAATTCAATTTTTATTTTAGACAATAATTGTTCAAAACATATAAGAATCGTTCATTTATTCCTAATATTGATAAAAAAAAAAAAATACAAGACACATTTTCGCAAAAATAGGTAACAAAAATTCGACGAGTCGAAGTTCGAAATGTTGACAAACACAGGGACAGACACATGATCCGCTGTTGGTCTTCAAGATCTTCTGAAAAACATACCTTATGCGCGGGAAATAAAGTGTTTTGATAAAATTCATATTCTAAATTTTCGTTTATTGTTTGGCCGCAAGTCTAGTTACTTTATTAGGAATCTATAGATAAAGCTAATATTGAATCATGCAACAAAAAGAACCTATTTGAGCTATACGTTAAATAATCCTTTTTGTTTCGTGTGGAAGTAGTATTTCGGAATCGAACTGACTAAGACCGCATATTGTTCCGGCACATGTAAGTCTATTGCGAAGGACTCGGGCATACCCTTTTTTTTTCCGTGCTGAAATCCCCTCGGATACCACCTATCATGTCATGATGGCATGTGGCATGTCGGACTCGAACCGACTAAAACCGCACGCCGTCTCGGGTACTAATAGCCGGGGAACCAGGTATACCCTAAAAAGGCAGTCCCTGGTGCCCCGACATACCTCGGGCCATCTACAGATGAGTAGACCACCCCCCCCCCCCCCCGTGTGGGAACCCCATGTTCCCTCTGCTCCCTGGAAGCGAGCGCGCTTCGCAACGCGCTCGCGGCCACCAGGCCTGCTTCTGCTAGGGTGACAGATGGCCTCACCTGTCACCCCCAGGCCTGCGCTTATGGAGGACGGAGGTCGTTCTGCGACCTCCGGCGCCTGAGTCGCCTGCGGTACCTAGCCCGTTCCCGGGCCTGCCGGGCCGGGAGAGTTCTAAACCTCTAGAGTTCTAAAGAAGGAGACGGCAGAGTTCCACGCACTCTCACTCCGCACAATAGCCGCAATCAGGCTATCGAGCGAGAGATCTCCCACTCCGATGGCTGCCACGAGGTCTCGCCTCTGCTCAACCCACGCCGCCACACACCCATCGCAGTGGTGGCACTCAGGCGTTGGCTCCT